CAGGGGGAACAGCAGGCGCAAAGCCCCAGGGCAAGGGGAAAAAAAAAACTGTATTGAGTGAAGAACTAAAAAGCCAGTGTGGCTAGACGATGTGAGCAGGGGCTGAATCATAGAATAGACTATGGGTTTGGTTCTAAATATGATAGGAAATCATTGGGGCTCTTCCATAAGGGAGAGAATTTAACTGACTTACATTTCAGAGGATTACCTAGCCACCATGTGGAAAGTAGACCAAAATAGGCAAGAGAGGAAGCAGGAGACCACTGAGCATACCAGATTGTGGAAGTGATGATATCCAGTTGCATTGGGCCATTTTGAAGGGAGAGGCAAAGGGATTTGCTAATGTATCTTGTGTGGAAAGGGAGAGAAAGAGGAGTGAAAAAGAAGCCCAAAGTCTGGGGTTGCCACAACTGAGTATCTAAGAGTATTGTTAACTGAGATGAAGAACACGGGAGGAGGTGCACTTCTTGGTAGGAAAGATCCAGAGCTAGGACTGACAGGTGCTTGGTTCAAGGGCCCTATTAGGCACCCTTGTGGGGTGTTATTGGAGACAGGAGTATGGAGATTCAGAAAGAAGGTCTATGTCCCAACCAGTGAGTGAGCCAGATGTCAGCACGAGATGCAATTCTACCTCAGAAGACAAGGCCAGAGGAGGGAGGAGGCCTCAGGCAACATATTCTCATTTCTATTGAAGAATTAAAGTTGGCTGGTTGGATGAATAAATGAATGAATCTTTAAGTTTTTATTCATCTCTGATGGTCACTCAAATCCATTATGTACACTGGAGTTGGCATTAGAAGACCTGGTTTCTATTCCCAGTCTTTTACTAACTAATTGCAATCCTGGGCAAGAGCATCCCCTCTCCAACACTATTTCCCCACCTCCACAATGAGGAAATTGGGCTCTGTGGTGTCTGTGGGTCTGACTTGCTCTGTCATCCTATGAAGTTGTAAGAACATAGCTTTAAAACTAGGTACTTTGAGAGGACTGTTATTCTGTCCTACTTGATGTGTGACCTCGAGCAGTTGCGAGCACCTCTGAGTTGCAGTTCCCTGTCTCTGAAACGATGATTAATAGTAACTTCCATTAAGTCACAGCAGTTTCCTGATTACTTGTGATGATGGAAATAGTGAAACCCTCTAGGAAAGCAATAGTCATGAAGAAACCAACCCCTGGGTACACACAAAAACACAGACACACATACACACACACACACTAGATGGAAAGAACTGACTTTCCTTTTTGAAGCAGTAAACCCCATCACCAGGTCAGCAATACCCTGGCTCTTTCTGAATGCTGTGTCTGGCTAGGCTTTTCTTGAGGTCAATATGGTTGTTTGGGGGACTGTTGGACTTCCTTGGCACCTCATTCTCAGAAGGTAAGAGCTGCCCTAAGTATCCCAAAGCTTAGTTATACTGGGTTACTCCTATCTGTCTATCAAAGAGATTTGGGATGAATCCAAGGCCCTAAGATGTAAAGACCATAGCCCAGGCTTGGCACACAGGGAAGATCTGAACTGTCTCATGCTTCAGGTTCCCAGGCTCAGTTGAGTAAGCGTGCAATAATAGCACAGTGCAGTTGTAGAGTTCAGATTTTTAAGGTAGCCAAAGTGAGAAAATTCCTAGGCTATTCTATTCATTTAGAAGTTCTAACAATAATTGCTACTTTTTGAAAATAAAAGAAAATACCTAATAGAAACCCTCATTTTAGCCTCAGTTAAGCCTACGTCATCTAACTGAAATTTCTTTTGTTTGAAATTATATTAGTTTCACATTGTTATAATTATCTGATCAATATTGTATACAAAAGCTGATTAATAGGGAATGGGCTGAACAATATTATAACTTAACTGATGCTTTATGTTTGAAGACTTGATCTTTGGAACATAGGGAGGGGGTTAATAAAAGGGGTCTTCAGTGTCCAAAGTGCTGGGAGACAGAAAACTAAAGAGTTGTATGTTTGGACAGAAGGCTGCTGGTGACCATATCACTCCCTTTGATGTCCAGAGCCTAAGAAGCTCTGAGCTATGTAGGAGTGCCCCCAAAGAGCAGATGCAAGGAGAAGAGACACTCTGCTAACAGTGACTAATGTCATTTCCAGTTAACTGGCTTTCAGCAGATAAGCCACAGATGTTAGAATGACCTCATTATGGACCAGGATGTCAACAACAAGACTGATACAAACAGAGCCTTGCTTAAGATTCCTGCAGACTCTATAGGTTTGGAATCCCTTAACTTATTCCCTGGACTTCTCAAAGGGTGGGAATTTCAGGCTATGGTATGTGGCATCATGAAGAATTCCAGGCGAGATGGAGTTTTTATTAGGGAAAGACTAGCTTTCCTGCAATCATAAACAGCCACCAAAGCTTCCAATTCCACCCCCTCCATTTCACTTTGTGGGTTCTCTTCAACCTTGGCTACTCAAAATGCACTACCTCCAGGCAGCATGGAAAGAATAGGCAAGGCCTCTAGAGGTGGCCAGATTTACATGCAGCCAGCTATCAACCCTAAAGAAAAGAGAATTTACATTGCTGTCACCATATACAAAATCCTAAGAAAGGAAGAGGTTGGGTCTGGTAGATGACTATCAGGATGGCCTGAGACAAAGAATTTCTGGGTGGTCAGACCTGGAGTCACACATCGCCTCCCTTACACCAAAAGCCTGGAGAAGGGACCCTCGGTCTACATCCTGCCATATCCTCTTGCAGCTAGGGGTTACCCACATAAGGGACACTCAGTAAACCTGGGTTGAGTTTAACATATTAGTAAATCACTCAGTACAAAACCAAGGAGAAAATTACCAAATATAAACAAGACTGACAGGGGAGTAATTCATAAACTGACTAGTCAACTGATGACCAAAATTTTGTTACATTCAACAGCAGCAGCAATTTTGAGAAAGCACTAGAGATATTTTACCCAATAAACTCTTTCCAAAGCTAATAAGAAAAATTTCTTGCCTGGTGGTTTACAACACAATTTAATATCTTTTATTTTTACTTCAATACAATTCAAAAAAGAATAATGAGAGTCTTCCCAGTGCCAGGCACTGTGCTCAAGGGTGGGCCATGGCAGTAGACATAGACAAGGTCCTTGCCCTCAGAGAACTCTTGGTCTAGTATTAAAGAGATATTAAATAATTGGAGAGATAATAATAGCTCATAAATTTATACTGAGCATTTTCTTTGTGTCAAGTACTAGACTAAATGCCTAACCCATATTAACTCAATTCGTCCTCATAATGATCCTTTGAAACAGATATTACATGACACTTGGAAGGCGGGTGACTGGTCCAGAGTTAGCAAGTGACAGAGCCAGGATTCAAACCCATGAAATCTGGCTCTCGAGTCCATGTTCTTTACCACTGTAACTATACTCCCAGCCAACAACACTGTTATGAGAGTTAAAATGAAAAGCACAGGAGTCAAGAGGCTGTAGCATTTAACCCAGTCAGATCTTAGAGCCAGATCTGCCAGTCTTTAAAACCCAGGATCCTTCCAACCAATCTAAGCATAAAAGCTCAGAGCAGTGGCTGCATTATAAGCTGTACTCACAAGTCCCCAGGGGACTCCAGATCTAACTCCACACTGGCATTCTCCCAATCCTCTTAGTATAAATAACCTGTAGGTTCTCTGCTCTTCCTACAAAGAACCTAGTAGCAAATAGCCCTCCTGGTAATTGCATCGAGGGAATGTTTTTGTTTGTTTAACTTAGGAGTTAAAACAGAATGGTCTTGTCTTGAGAATTGTGAAATAACAATTAGAAAGTTATTTGCTTGTGTTTATAGTTAGACTTAAAGCATATTATGATATACATGAGAGCAAATGAAAAATGGAAAGGGGGTTACAGGGCTGGCAAGGGATTGGGGGTCTTCAGAGAGGCAGATTATTATTCATGCAGCTATAATGATTAACAGTTAAAACTCCACTCTTGCCGTCCCCCATGTCTGAGGAAGAATAGAAGCTTTTGTGTGTATGTGTGTGTGTGTGTGTGTGTGGGGTTTCCCCTGAAACAAAAAGCCACATCTTTCTTTGCAGAGAATGCATTAGAATGAGGGGTTTCTACATACCTGGAAAGAAGCCAGATATTTTGGAGTCAAGGTCCCCTCCCCTCCCCCAATCCTGGCCAGGCAGTGTCCTCACAGGGGACATGCCCATATTAAAAGCTCAGCTGACAGGGAAGAAGGGGTGGACTCCAGCTGGTGCACTAACCCTGAGGAGCACAGTGCAGGCGGAGTTAGGTGGCCAGAGCAGGGCAACAAAGGAATTCTAATACCAGCTCACCATTCACATTTATTGAGTAGTTACTATGTCCAGACACTAGGCTATGCACCTCACACTCAGCAGCTCATTTAGCTAGGTGAATAAAAACAGCATCCCCATTTTGCAGGGAAGGGCCATGAGACACAATGGATTCTCTTGCTCAAGACCATATTTCTTTTTTTACTGTTACTTTTTAAATTTATTTTATTAATTACTACTATTTTAATTGTACATATTTATGGGGCATGGTGTGATAAATTGATATATTGATATAATGTGTAAGAATCAAATCAAGACTATATCTCTAAAGAGAAGGAGAGCCAGCAGTCAAGGTCAGGCAGGTGACTCCAGTAGCATCATCCTTCACCAGGGTTCCACAGCAAAAGGCCGGAAATGAGATCACCACGCTGTTCATTTAGATTTCACTTCTCCTGTGGTCCTGTAGAGAGCCCCCCTTGTATGGGCTCTGCTGGCCACAAATTTGGTGTTCTTCAGTGACTTGGGGTGTACAACAGCCTTCTTACAAACTGTGGACTTAATTTGAGTCTCAGAGTGTCCCTCCCTAGGAATGTAGAGGGTTGGGCGACGGGGGTGCGGGGGGCAAGCTAATTATTTCTGAAGAGGGCAGACAGCTTTGTAACCAGCCTTTCACTCAAGTGTTGAGAAAGCTATTGTTGGAGCATCTTGGCACCAGAGAGGAAGAGAGATTTTCCTGAATCACTTCTCATTTTTTATTTAGGCCTCACACTTTTCCTGGGGCCTCTGGGCAGCCTTCCAGCCCCTGTACCCATGATTGACTCTGAGTTCCAGAGGTAAGTGATCTGTCACTCCCAGGCCCAGGGAAGGGGTGGGCTGAGGCCCGGACAGGCCCTGCTTGGCTCGGCCCCCTGACATTGTACACACTAATGCAACGTGAAGTAGCACGTCTAAATAGCCTGTCCAACTTTTTTGATGTTCTTGAACTCACAGATGGGATTCATTTCCACACTGTTCGCAAAATGTAAACGATACAAGGACATTAAAGAGCATTAAACTACTTGATGACATTTTGGTCACATTAATGAAAAGTGGCATTTTTTTAAACTACCAGAAAGAAAGAATGTTTGGTGGAGAGAGGAGGGATGAAGAAGAGAAGAGATGAAATAGGGAGGGGGAAGGAGGAACAGGAGAGGGATTTGAATTCACCCAAAATGTAGAAGAAATGAAGAAATGCTGGCAGTCCTAGCTCTGGTTAAACATTTGGGGCCTTGGTTAGCACAACATTAGCTTCAAACATTCAGGTGGACAGTCCACAGAACATTCCTGTGGAGGGTACAGGCACACCAGCAGCCTTCTATTCCAGAGTGCTTAGTATGGAAAAAATAAGCTCCATACCACTGGGACAAGACAGAGAGGACAGGAGGAGGTGAGTTCCAGCCTCACATCATAGAAAGCCTCCCATGAGTGTGTCTCCAGGTTAGATTAAGTGTCTCTTCTCCCAGCTTCCAGAGACCCTAAGATCACTCTCATTATGGCACCCATCACCTTGTCATCTAATCATTAGTCGGTCTAAATCCCCCCGATTGTGGGCTTCTTTCAGGTGTAAGTAAGGGTTAGGAGCAAATTTGATGTAACTACCAGGTTACATCAAATTTGAAAATCAAATTTGCCTGGGCTCACATACTGATTTTATGACTTGAAGCATAGTTAATTAACCTAGTTGGGTCTCAACAATTCCATCTGTAAAATGGGGTAAGTAGAAAATCTAGCTCACAGAGTTGTAGTGATGCCTAAATGAGGTCCTAAGTGGAAAGGCACAGTACTGTGCCTGGAGAATGCATGCTCAGCATCTGTTATAGGTTAGCCTCAACCTCATGCCCAGCACCCCAAGAACTTGGCAAACAGAAGGCATTCAGTACATACTGCTAAATAAATGGTTCTCAGCAGACTCACTTAGAAAAAAAATCACCTACCAAGGGGACTAAGGAATTGGACTTGGAGCTACAGAAATAAAAATGGGTGGCAGAGACATTTTATAACCTATCAAGGCCAGGGCACCTTGTTTTAAAATAAAAAAGTTGGATACTTTGAACTCTGTCTTGGGAGTGCCTGGAGAGGTGTGCTGCTCGCTCATCCAACCAACCACCGCTGGCAAGTGGGGGTGAGCAGCGCCCCCAGCATCCCATGCCTCCCCCCACCTCCTTGGCAGGGCTTTCTCCTTCCAGCCCTGGTGGTTACATTAATTGCTAATGACAATGGCAACCTTCACTCTGTGTGGTTTCCTGCCCAGATTCTGGATCCTTTACAAGGCTCCCTTTTCTTTTTTTTTGTTTCCCAGATAGGAAATGCAACCCGAGACGTGTGAAGAAAAAAAACAGTGTGCTTATTGTCATGGCCTCCACTCCTCCCTGGGCTCCCGGTAGGCTGTGTGTGCTCTGGGGTGTCTGCCCCGCCATGGGGAAGAATAAACCCAGACTCAAATCATAGGAAATTCATCAAATGTGCTTCTCAGAGCTCTGTCTTTCAAGGTCTGTTTCCCTGCCATATGATCTCTATAAACCAAATCACTGCTAGCCAGGGCACAGGACCAGAGGCGCCACAGGCTCATGGATAATGAATGCCAAATGCATGTGACAATACACTGATCAGAGAGCTGAATGGAAATTTCTGAGTTGTGCTCTTCTATATGCATAAATCCACACATACCTATGTGAACACGTGCAGCCCTGCACACATGTTTGCACACCAAGCACATGCACAGGCACAGGTCAAATGCACAATATGTCTTAATGTATTAAGGCCAACTATGGTCCTTGCTGCCAGACTGAGATAACACACCTCTCAATTACTCTGTTAAATTATCAAGACAAAAAATCCTGTGGATCAAAAGAATAAAGTGAAAGAGACAAAAAAAAAAAAAAAAATCAGAGCCCAGCTTAGCTGGGGACATTGAACCTAGAAGAATCATGGAATTAGAAATCCAGGATGCCTTGAGCCCAGGAACCAACACCAACACAGGACCCAGCACTCAAGCCTCAACTGAAAAATGAAGAATGAGGACTCATTTGGGGGCACCAAAAGTAAATTAGAGAAATCACCCCAAATCAAATGAGCTATTGTATGATCTTTTCCCAGTAATGCTTTTAGCTCCTCCTCGGTGTGACCAATCCCTTTACTCGCTTACCGGTTAACCAGCATCACCAGGGAAGAGAAGAGAACACAGGACGGAAACTAGCAGGCCACCAGCTGAAGGCAAAAAGGTAATTAATGTTATAGCCTTTTAGATTCTAGAAAATACTGCACTTAAAACTGCAAGTCAACTAAGCGGCTGTCGGCAACCGATAAATGCTTCCATATTCACAGGCATCAGCAGTCTTCCCGTTACAAAAAAAGTAATAATACATACATATTAATGGATCACATTTTGTCCTTTGGGGAGCATAATTTTTAAAAGGGCCAAGGCAGCAATAATAGTTCCTTTAAAAATTCTAAATGCTGTAATTGTTTTCTCTGAATTATGGTGCTAGGATTTAATTAGTGATGAATGTTCGGTATGGGGTTTGGACATTTTTGATGAATTCAGCCAAACAGAAAAGTAGTCTTGTCCTCATCATTCCCTCCTGGTCCCCCACCCCCTTTTCTTCTCTAGGACCCTGAAATGTGTGTGCACAGGAGAACGTGTCCATGTGGAGATTCTATTTTCTGCAGTTTGGCTATAGTTAAGAAGGCGATTGCTTTAACCACAGTTCAACCAGGAGCATGAAACATGGTCAGTGAGGTCATGCAATTCAGCACAAGTTTTGAGGTTTTCTGGTTTTAAGAAAGAAAAATAATAAAAGGCAAATGGTAGAAATTTTCTTATCATTAGGGGGAAATTGTCTGGGTCTTGGGCCTGGGCCCTGACCTTAAAGGCCTCTTGGACAATAGGGATAAAGGTGTGTGTGGTTGGGGTGAGGATGGGGAGGGGAGGAGTGGATCCTAATTAGAATAAGATATACTCCATATTTGTATAAATATGTCAAAATTGACTCTACTATCATGTATAACTTAAAAAAAATTAAAAAAACCATAACCAAAACCAACCAACCAAACAAACAATGATTTCTTCATTCATTCAACAAATAACTATTAAGCGAGGCCTTACTGGGTCCAGACTCTGAGCTGGGCACTGCACACAACCCTGGCAATGAAGTCCCCGCCTGGGGATAAATATAATTGCTTTGTTCTTCTCCAAGCCATTTCTTTGTAAAAGCAGCTGGAGAGAAGCCCAGACCAGCAGCCATCTACACAGGCAGAATCAACGTGGCCCTTACAGCAGAGCCCCTGGGGGCCTTGCCCACCCCTCTCTTCCACCTTCAGGACTTCTTTCATTTGAGACCTGGATGCTGTCCTGGGTTCCCAGTGTCCTCTATTAACATGCAAATACTCCTGGGAAAGGTCACACCTTGAGACCCCATCAGCTGACCTCTGGCTCACCAGTTACTTCTCAGCAAGGATTAGCAGAAATAGAACACCATAAAGGCTTGGGGTGCAGGCTGTGGGGAGGTTAGGGCTTGTGGGGGGAAGGAGGTAAAAGACCTCTTCCTGCTGCCCAGATTTTCCTGGACAATTGATTTGATTTAATTCGATATCAGCAAGTCAGTGTTTTTATTCCAAGAAAAGTTGATCTTTTTAAAATGTAAAATAAAATAAAATCCCATTTGCATACCTCTGAAAGGGTTATATTTAAATTAATTCAAAAATCAGATATCATTCTGAGTTCTACCATGTGTTCCAGATAAAGCACAAGACTATATGGTCCTCCCCTGTCCTGATTTTACTGCAAGTATCACCTGCTTCTCAGTTTCACTCAATTTGCAAAAATGCTGCCTCAAAAATGGCAGCCCAAGGTGGCCAAGGGAAGTATTTCCCCCTCTCTCTACTGCCTCTCTTGTTTCTCCCTCTCCCTTCGTCCTCTATCCTCTCCCTCTTGCCTTCCATCTGCTCGTAGCATACACTTCCTCTCCCTTGGCTTCCCCCACAAGAGGCCCATTGGTCCATCTACCATACAGCTTTAACATTCCTCTCATGAAGCTCTGAGACAAGGGGAATGAAGGGAAAGGGAGGGGGCACAGGAATAGGAAAGATAGTGGAATGAATCTGACATGACCTTCCATATAAATATGTGTATATGCCACAGTGAATTTCCACATCATGTACATCTGCAAGACTGGGATCCTAATTAGAATAAGATATACTCCATATTTGTATAAATATGTCAAAATTGACTCTACTATCATGTATAACTTTAAAAAAATTTAAAAAACCATAACCAAAACCAAACAACCAAACAAACAAAAAAACCCCGCCATTCTGGAGAGGATCACGCATAATCAGAGCACAGGATCCAGAATCAGTCAGAAAGACCTGGGTTCAAGTTCCAGTTCTGTCACTTGTACAGATACCAGAGGAAAGTGACATATACTCTCATTACTCTCATCATTAACTTAACTGTTTGTCTTTTTAGAGAAATATGTAAAATTATAGTAAGTGCTCAATAAATATTTCTATTGCTATTGTCATAACACATACTATCTTCTTTATGGAATTCCAAAATATTCAGATAGTTTAAAACATATAAAAGCACCATGATATACAGATCAAGGGGACATAAGCCTCCAAAGTTACTCCCTTAGTGAAATATTTACTTATTTCAACATTGTTGCCATTGAACAAAATTGCTATTCATTCATTCCTTTATTCATTCAACAAATATTTAGCATACCCCTACCACATGCCAAGCACTGAGCTAGGAATTTAGGACACTGAGGTGGGTGAGCTTGATCCCTAGCTTTTAGGAGCTCACATCTAGCAAGTAAAACCAAAGTGAGCAATAACAGGTGTACATAAAAAGTTATGAGAAAGCCCTATCAGTAAGGAATCAGTGTCTGTGGGTTGCTGGTGAAGATATCCAGAGAGACATTTGAGCTGACAATTATAGGAGGGCACTATTTATTGCAATTTATTAGGACTCTTCTGTGTGCCAGACACTGGTGAGAGGTTTATTGTTTTAATTTATTCCACATGATAACTGTGCAAGGAAATTCTCATTTTGCAAATGAGAACACTGAAGCTCAGGAGGTTAAGAAGTGTGACTGCAGTCGTACAAATAGCATATTTGAAAAACTGAGATTTCAACCCAGATCCAAGTGATTCTGATGACCAGGCACTTCCTTGCCACCCAATGGGACAGTTAAACAGTCACTTGGGTAAGAAAAAGGAAAACAGTGGTTTTGTTATTTACAGGCACATCTTCTGGGTTTGGGGAAATTTTTTATCACCTAATATTGGGTACATACAAAACAACTTGTTAAAGTATTTATTACATAAAATGGTATATTGTTTTAGAAAAATTTTTTAAAATTATATATGTATATAAATATATGTATATACATACGGGTATGTATATACACATAATACTTACAAGTATGTATATACACGTGCATATACATACATATATGAACACACATGTATGTGCATACAAATATGCTTGGCATTTTTATACATAGAGGAAATGATTATATCTAAAATATGATCATACTTTATACATATTTGTAATTTCATTTTTTATTTAACAGATCAAAAATGATTTTGATGCCAGGAAATATACATCCTTTTCCTCCTTATTAATCACTGTTATTGTTCTTTGAATGGATAGATGCCATAATTTATTTAACCTATTCTCTCTTTAGACATTTAGCTTAATTTCAGTGTTTAAAATTGTCATGAATAACACAGTGACAATCACACTTTGTTCAAATGCCATTGCACGTTTGCCCAACCCTTCTTCACTTACAAAAAATTTCTGGAAGGGAAATTGTTCAGTCTCACCTCATGTTTAAGATCTTGGATATATTTTGCCACATTGTATTTCATCATGTACAAATTTATACTTCCATTAACAGTTTATGAAGGTGACCTGACATGTTGATATTTTTATATTGCTGTTTTATCTTATAAGAGTTCTTTACATATGAAGGCTATGAGTCCTTTGTCCTTCATAGATTGCATAGTACACTTGACTTACAAATATATTTAATTTTTTACAGTGAAATCTATAAATTTTTTATGGTTCCTGCTGTTGATGCAACATTTAGGAAAACCTTCCCAATTCATGATCATAAATTTTCTTTTAGATATTTTGTGACCTCAATTTTTATATTTTACGTTTTAATCTATCCCAAATTTAATGTGGTACATGGGAAATGTTTACTTATTTCAACTAGAAAAGAATCCAGTTTAATACGTTTCCAAGCCATGTTGTTCCCAAACCTCACATATGAAATACTACTTCTACTATATACCAAATAAGTACTGAGAAGTTTCTGTTATTTTTCATTGATCTATTTGTTTATGTTTTTCCCAACAGAATTGTGCTGTTTGAATCATTACTGCTCTGTGGCCTTTTTAATCTCTGGTATTACTCATCTTTTCTCATCAGTTTTCTTTATCAAAGTTTTAACGTAGGTCTTTGTTTTTTAATACAATAAATGAAGGTATAAGGTAGAGAATGACTTTAAAAAGAATGCCAGTCACATGCATAATAAGTTTGCTATATTTTTAAAACTTGTTTTATAATTTTATAGCCACATTCAGTCTATTTACATAGTTAATACTTTTATTCTGGTATTTACCACTCTGGCATGCCCAATCTATCACTAGATCTATTGTAGTCTTCTTGACAAAGATCTTGGCAAATAGTTTGGTCCATTCTACCCACATGAAAAAGTCAATACAGTACTGCAGTTAAGAGTGTAAGATCCAGCTGTGTGATTTTGAGCAAGCTATTCTACCTCTCTGAGCTCCAGTATCCATCCTTGCAATAGGAGGGTAACTAACACTACTGCATGTTGAAAAAACATTCAGTGAACATTAACTAGCATCATGGTCCCATGTCCAATGGTCTTGTCTTGTCTTGGAGCTTGAAGAGAAGACATTAAACATGCATTAAATAAAATAAAATTTTACAATCCTTTTTGCAATGTTTCTAGGGATAAGAAGTTGTCATTAATCATTATTTCTCACTGTGACCCTAGTGCTGGGGCTTTAAAGGAGACTATGACCTGGCCATAGAGGGACCACATAGTGTCACATGACCTGAATCAGCCCGCTTATCTGAACCTACTGAGGATTATGCTTAGCACCGTGGCCTTCCTCTTTGCCCATCCTGTGAGCCTATAACTTGGACATGCCCTTGTGCCTTGTTCATCCTCTCCCTCTGCTCAGAGCAGACTGCTGGCCACAGAGGGTTATGGATTACAACCCTAGCTCTGCCACACACTGTTTCAGTAACAGCTCTTTCTGAATTAGAATTTTGTTCAGCTGAAAAATTTGGGATGTGTGACTTCCCTGCCAGTTTTCCCTGGGGATTAGGTGAAAATACTACACAAAAGCATTTCATACAGTATAAGACATATAATAGGTACTCAGTAAATGTTACTGTATTAGTAAAGAATATTTGATTCTAGGGGCTGGGGTTGTGGCTCAGCGGTAGAGCACCCGCCTAGCACATGTGAGGCACTGCATTTGATCCTCAGCGCCACATAAAAGTAAATAAATAAATAAATAAAATAAAGGTATTGTGTCCAACTACAACTAAAAAAATATTTTAACAAAAGAATATTTGATTCTAAGTAACAGAAAACCCAATTCAAACTGGCTTAAACATTAAAGTAATAATATTGGTCATTTACCTAGATATATTAAGACATAGCTGGACTTCAGGAGTGGTTTGATCCAGTAGCATACCCATGTTACTGAGATTTGTTTATTTGTTTTTGCATTTGTTTCTCTCTCCTCACCCTCCCCATCATATATTCCCCATCATATATTAAGGCTGTCTTCCTCTCACAATTCCAGTAGGTCTGCAAGTATCCAGAATGCACATAAGAACCACACCTATCTCTCTCCAGATGCAGGAAAAGAGCTCTCTCAGGAACCCCAGCAAAATTCTCTTCTGTAGCTCAATGGCCAGAACTGGACCATGGGCCATGAGTCGATCCCTGAACCAGAACAAAGGCCAGAAGATGGGATTGCACACACTAACTCGTTTGAACAGAAGCCCTGGGGGTAAATTCACCTCTGTGCCAGTGCAAGAACCACACAGAAACACGAGGGAAACTGAACCAAGAGATTCCCCAAGGGAAGGGGCACCAGCATCAGGGGGACAACTACAGGGCCCACTCTTTGTTTCCCCAGCTCCAACTGAACTGAGTGGGTGGACAAATCTGAGGCCTGAAACTGTTGATTGGGTTCTGTCGATATGGAAAAGAATGTGCAACCTACCATATAGGGACTAAAAACATTCTTTCCAAACAAAAATAAGAATAACAGCAATAATGATAATATGTAGAGTAATATATGTGTATTGGAAAAAGCCTTTTCAAAAGAACAAAAATACCCTTGCTCCAAACTACTTGAAAGCAATTACTCGGGTCTGTGCCAAAGGCCAAGGACCAAGTCACAGGCACAAACTTTGCTGTTTCTCGTCCTTCTTTTTCCTCAGTCTTCTCAAATCCTTCCGTCCCTGGGACTTTTCTTTTAAGGCTGCTCCCCTTTGCTCTGCTTCTCCTCGGGCTCCCTTTCTTCCTCTGTTTAGATGTTATTGGCCTCAAATACCTGGGAAGAAACCAGGAGGGTAAGGACAGGGGACTGTGCAGAGTGGCCAAGGCCTAAGCCACCCTCTTGATGCCTCTGCCATCACCCTCTGTGCAGTGGGGAAGCTCGGTCTCCCTGAAAGGTTGAATGGCGAGCCCCAGCCCGCCCTGCACGCCTCTGGGTTGCTAAGCGACCAACACTTCAAGTTTGGAAATCTTTATCCACACCGGATATATTATCCTGGCAAATTGGACTTTCAGATCTGGCAGCAATGGAAAGAGTAACTTTTTTAAAAATAGAGACAATTTAGATGATTTCAAAGACATCTGGTCTCTTTTTCCAGCAATGTCTGACTCTTCTCTTTCACTGAGCACACTGGATCCAAACACTTCACATGTACAAAAGCACGAGGTCCCTGAGGAAAGACGTGTTTCAATCACAAAAAGCCAACTCACAAAAAGTGCTGCAGTTGGAGAGGCCTAGCACTGACTGGGGCAGCCACAGGGGCATACCTTCTTGCCTCCTCCTTCCATGTGGTCCCTCTTCTAGCCGGTTTCCTCCGGGTACTCCTTCCCTTTCTCTGTTACAAATGCTCCTTTCCGCCCTGATTTGCCCGATCCCCTTCTCTTCCTTTTTCTTTTCCTCTCTTCCACCTGCGCCCCTGAACATCCCATCCTGTCTTCTCTCATCGTACCCTTTTCCTCCGCAAGTCAAGACAACATGGACCTGAAGCAACACAATGGCCTGTGACCAAGATCCTTGGTCTTCCTGCTCTCTGGGGTGAGCTCTCTGGGGTCAAAGGTGGCCACTCCTCCTTTGCTCCTAAATCATGGTTAGAGTGATCTCTGAGCACAATCTCCCTCCCTTGTGTCCTTTAAAAAAAATCAAGACAAAACCAAACACCAAATACCTCCTCCACCTGTTTGTTTTAATATCTAGAATTCCTCTAGCGGAGAGCATTACATTCCACAATTCAAGACCAAGTTTGAAACATAAATAATAAACAATTCACATCTGGGTAGCTTGTCAGTTTTCTAAACACACCCAGCTGTTTCCCAACAATTCCTTCATTTGATACCCCACCTCCAATAACCTGGAAATGGAAGCGTTATTATTACTATCATGTCTACTTCAAAATGTGGAAATTGAGGCTCAGAAATAGAAAGGTTGGCCAGCCCTGTCCTGCCTAACTCTAGTGTCATGGTTCACAGATGAGGTGTTGCTCATGTGAGAGACAACGCAAGAACATTCAGAGGTGAAATGATTAGATTATGAGTTGTAATTAATCTACCTGTATGAATTAATTGAGTGGTAACTGTAGAAAGGGTAGGGTATAGCTGGGATAGGTCACTGGGGGGTATACCTTTGGCGTTTAGATTTTGTCTCTGATGAGCTGAGCTCTCTCCTTCCTAATTGCCATTCCCTGAGCTGCTATTCTTTCTGCCTCACCTTGGGTCCAGAGCTATATGATCATGGACTGAACCTCTGAAACTGTAAGCCAAACTGTTTCTCGTCCTTCAAAATAAATTTTTCCTCCTCTACATTGTTCTTTTTAGGTCTGTTGGTCCCCGGGACGAAAAAGCTGATGCAAACACCTAGTGTCCATTTCCTTCCCCACCCCTTCTCACTTTTCCAGGAGAGAATCATAATGACCTGATATAATGAAATCCCATCCCTAATTTCTTCAGATCCAAGACTCATTCCTGATTCCTATCTGAAAATTTTGATTTGTACTTATTGCTGTAGAAACCTGTCAGCAGGGTATGCTACCACCAGATGGCAGATGTTACTCTGGTTTCATAGTGAGCTCTAGGCTTTACTATAACTAAAAATGAGTCAAGTGTTTTTCTATATTTTATCTTTTTATAATCAAAATTATAGTTCACTAAAAAATAGCTAAGCACAGCAGCATTCCTCATCTATACAGATGATGATATGAAGAGAAGATATATATTTAGAGGAGTAAACATACAGGTTGACTGAAGGCCTGTGAAATGTTCATTGACTATTACCAGGCACAACTCAGTCTAATTTTACCCACAAAGTCACAGCTTACTTCATGTGCTGAGATGTTGGAAAAGGCATCCTAGGGTTTCTGCTTTCCCATCCTGGCATTCACTGCACACTAGCCCAGTTGGAGAAGGCAGAATAGTCCTCAGACTGTCATGTACATCTAAATCACGTGGGGGCCTTGGTGAAGCACAAACTTCTAGATCTCAGTTCCTAAGTTTCTGAATAGGGTATGAAAACTCACATTTCTAACAAGTTCCAAGGTAATGCTAATGCTGTTGGATATTTTAAAGAAATACTAAATCAAGACAAGAAACCGTGCCTGACTTATGAGTTCTCCCAATTCCTCACCTCTCTCCAACATGGTAGAGGAGAGAGGCTGACTTCCATGGCCTCCTTGCCAGAGGTCTGGGATCACTGTGAATGATTAACCAACACCCCTAAACACTGTGGTTGCCACCAAATTAACTTTGGGTCACTCTCAATACATATTCATGCTGCTCAGAATCCCCTTTTGATTAGTAATTCTCAGATCAATGCTCATCAGGACTATGCATGTCATTACTAATAGTGATAGAACATGCTTGTTTTTATTAAAGTTGCCAGCATTGAATAAGTATTGCTCTCATTAGCTTATCTAACCCTCATAATAATCCTATCAGAATGACTCTACCATTAATCCCACTTCATAGATGAGAAAACAGAAGATGAAGATTATAAAGCCAGTACATCACAGTACCTGAACCAAATACAGTTTGTCTTCCTCCAGAACACTAACTCTCAGCCATTGTAGAAACTGACTCTTTCAGTGTGGGTACTAAAGTAGGTCTCCCATCTCAAGTTACTTTCTTCCTGCTTCTTAAGCTTTTGGTCCCAACATTTTCCCCACTGGGCCTATGTCCATGCCTGCCAACCATCAGGTTGCCCCAATGACTCTTTGACCAACCTCTTCAAATCTTTTGCCTTCCCACCATACTGAATGGAGGGGAAAGCAGTTAAGATGGAAGGTCCGGAGGATCCTCCAGTCTCAGGCAGCAAATATGGGTTCTAGTGCATTCACCAGATGTTACTTTTTAAGGCAGGGAAAGGGAACCAGACACTTTGAAATAAGCTTCAACAAATGTTATGTTGGTGTGTTGAAACACCATCAAAAAAATCCTTTTTTATTTAGAGAAGAATTATGCAAACATATTATGAAAGAAGAAGGAAAGTGAAAGGACGTAGAAGGATGGCAAAAAGGAGAAGGGAAGGGAAGGAAGAAGAAAGAAGAAGGAAACTAAGGATCAATTTAGCAGAAAACATAGCAAAAGAACAGAAAGATATTCTTCACCATTCTTTCATGCTATGTAACATCTTAAAGAGAATACAAATTCAGAAACACAAGGGCTGAACGGTAAGGTAATGAGATGAAAAAAGAGAGATTGAAGATCCAAACCACAAGATTACAGAACTAATTCAAAAATTACAGAGAGCAAGAAACACGTATAGTCCTCTGAAAATAAATCATTTATATGGATGAGAATTTGAGATAGTCACACTAAATGCAGATTAAAACAAAGACATGAGAGTAAGTGCAGAGAAGCTAATAGAGGTTTTAAGCACCTAAGAAATAAAAGATAAGTATCCAGATCCAAAGGTAAAATATTTTAAATTATCTACATTAAGAAAAAAATTGAATACACAAACTGAAAGAGCATATTCCAAGAGAATTTAAAACAGACAGCTCAGGATAGAGAGATACTGGTTAAATAAAGACACTTCAAATGCACCGTCGGGAATAGCACATCATTATAAGGGGGTTAAAATCAGGCTCATCTCAGCCTTCTCCAGGCAACAGTTAATGCTCAAAGACAATGTACTAAGAAGAAATAACATGCATCCTGGGACAGTATAGCCAACAAAAATGTCTTTATATACAAAAGCAACAGACTTTCTCAAACATAGAAAACAGCACTGATGATCCCTGAAACTATGTGACAATGACATTCTGCCCATCAAGAAATAAAGAAAAAGAGAATTTTGTAATTAAAACACCATGAAAAATCTCTTGTGGTTGACAATGCATCTATTTAATATTTGAACTAATACTAAATAATTCCTTTCTCAATAAAGCCTACCCTGATTGTGTACTATGGCAAATATGCCCTATCCTACTCACATTCTTGATTTCCTTTTATTCTGCTTTAACTTTTACTTTTATTCTGTAACATGTTACTATGAACTTTACTTTTTGGTGTTTATTTTATGTTCCACAGATCTTCCCCAATAGAGAGTCCTCCATCCAGGAGAAATGGGATTAAATAGTTTATGAAATATAGGATCTATTCTAGTTACAGACCAGTAAGTGGGAGCTGCGAGTCTGAGCAATATAAAAATAATAAGATAGCTAACAAAACTCAAATTTGGTGGATAGGGAGCTGGAAGAAATCTAAGAGTGCCAATGTCCTTATGTTTCACAGCCCCAATACACTGATATGTAACTGAACACATCTGCTGGCTCTGCTCATCCCTCTTTGGCCATCCCTTTCTCGTGTGACTAGGATAGATTCAATTGATTGGCCTTGTTTTCCCAATAGGTAAAATGAGAATTTTGCCACCAGGCATTTTGCAAAATTTGTGATCAACACTTCTGTGATTTAGTCAGAGAATAAAGTTCTCATTGCGGAATCTGGGTGTTTGAGGGTGGCATTCTCTTTGAGAAGGTAAATGGCAGACAGTGAAGAATTGAAACATGTAGCTTTAAAATAAATGAGGACTGACACTTCTTGATGTTTTACATAATTACTTTGATTAATTGTAAAAGTATTTTTCATGAAATACCACCCCACAGTAAAGATTAATTTATTCAATAATTTCTATAGTCTTTAGTATTAATTTTCTTACATCAAATTCCGGTAAAGCTAAAGAGATACTTCATATTTCAAAGTAGTATTTAGAGCTATGACCTCATTTTTATTGAAGTGTTTTTAGATATCTATTTTCTATGTATATGACTAAAAATAACAGAGATATTTACTTATTCTCAACAAGTGTTAGTCCTGAGAAATAGTAATTGAATTTATTTTATAACTTTCATCTTCAAACTTTTCTCTGTTATATAAATTATTTTTAATGAACACATATTTTTCTCAGATACAATAAGATAACTTGCTTTTGTTTTAAAAATGAGAGAAAAAATACTAAGCATATAAGTCAAAATATTGGTGTAGCTGGGGTATAGCTGTTCAGCACTCATGATGGAAATCTGAGCACTCAACCTCCTTTACTAACATATTTTTTTCTTTCCAGCACTGCCTCTTTGACTTGCCAGATGGAAGGAGGGGCATCAGTGCTGACCAGAGACCCTACCAGCTGCCTTTTCATAAACTTCTGGTTAAATTCATGGGGCAGAAAAATCTTCCTAAATAATAAGATATCTAACAAAACAGATTTCTGAAGCTCAGATAAGTTTTGATTTGCCTGATTTCATGCAGTTGGAGAAATAATGATAATAACAGTAACTGTTGCATTGAGTCTTTACCATAAACCAGCCTCCATGCCAGGCATATCCATAAAGAATCCCTCTTAGTCCTCACAATGGCTTGCAATGTCAGCAATTTTTATTTATTTTAAAAACATAGCCCAGGGAGATTGTTCATATTGCCAAATGTCACACAGTTAGGAAGTGGCAGTGCCTGCTATAATTCAGGTCTGACTCACTGAAGCCCAGGCTATTTCCTCTACTTTTTGTTCTCGCTAGCTGAAACAGGAGTGGCCTGTGCTGGGCATCCATGGGGTCCTGGAGTGACTGCAAGTCATCTGCTGGGGTGCTGCTGGCAGGACCTGAGCACTTGATATGCTTAGATCTAAGGGAAAGTCGGGATCCCAAATGGGAGCTCTCTGCCTGCAACAGGTACGAACCCCCTCTCTCCTCCTGGGAGTCCCACCACATGGAACAAGTATGGAGTCAGTCTGGTGATTTCCCAAAATGGTTCAAGAGCCAGGCTCATGGGAGCTCAGGTGCCCTCAGCAAGTGCTTATTGGGTGGTTCTGACACAGTGAACACCCAGCCAAGAAAGAGGCCCCCAAAATGGTCAGCTCAGTATAGACAATGGCTCCATCCAGTGAGTGTCAGAAAATCTGGATTTCCACACCTCCTCTGCCATCCAGCTCTGTGGTGTGACCCTGAGGAAGTCACATGATGTTTCTGAGACTCATTTTCCCCATCAGTAAAACGAAAGGTTTTACCACTGAAATGTTTCCAAAGTTCTCAGCTCAATACTTCTACGATTTAGTAGAGAATGAGGCTCTTTTTGCACAGCCTGGGTGGTTGGGGGCCAGGTTCTCTTTGAGAAGGTTAATGGCAGCCAGGAAGCCAAGCCAGCAAGGAGCAAGAAGGTTGGCATTACCCCCAGATGGGAGAGGAGTGACTTTAAGAAAACAGCTTAAGGCCATGGGAAGGGGTCTTCATCACAGACCCTTTCTTTTCTCCCACAGGTGGGTCTTGGCAGCTGGCCTGCAGGCCTAGATGGACCACAGACCTTTATGAGATTATCTGCTAATCATAGCCTGGATATGCGCCCTTGAGAGGTGTCGCCTGAAGAATGAGATATTTTTTTATGATGCAGTAAAAGAGAGGAAATCTCCTTGGCCTCTCGCCTCGTCCAGTGCTCAGTAAGTAAGCGGGCAACCCGAGCCCAGCCTCCCTTTGGCAAGGGCACTGGGAGCTCAGAGTTTCCACACGGGGCTGCCATCTCATGACAGGGCTACAGGGAGGGGCCAGAGTGAGGACAGGAGAGACATTAAGGAGAGACCAAGGATTGCTAAACCACAGACAATTAAAGTTTAGAACAGCTAAGGTCACACACATTACATTAGCAACGTTATACACTCGCAACTGGAGAGTAAATCACTGGTCCCATTTGGGAAAGGAATTTCTCTCTAAATACTATTATTTTCTCTGAATAGTAAACCATGCCCAGAACCACCTTTGTTCCTCACCCTCTTTGTTCCTACTCATTGTCAGGATATCTAGTGATGATTTTTGCTAAAACAGTGGGTTCAGCCTTCATTAACTGACTGCCAATCATGTGCTAAGAGCTGTAGTGAGCATTTCAGCCCCTATTAAAGTTAATGGCAATGAGTCCACATTGATCTGATAGTTTTACATGTACTAATTCATCAATCCTTACATTAATGAAAATTCAATCAAATAAAATATGAAGTTAAAATAACCATTCCCATTTTACACATAAGAACACTGATTCCCAGAGATGTTAAATAGCCTGCCTAAGGTCAGATGACTGCTAAGCTGCAGAATCAAAAAACAACCCCAGGCTGGTATGTGCTTTTATCCTCTCCACATCTGCCTCTCCTCATTTATCATCATTGTAAATATAAGTCTCTGGGTTCTCTCTCCTTCAAGGATTATCCTTAATCTTAATGTGTATATGGAGAACAATTTCTCTCCCACCCATGGTATTAGGAAGAAACTTTTTGCCCTTCACTTCCCCCTTTCCCAGATTCCTTCTGGGAGGAGGGGTTGACACAATGGGTGAAACGGTAGGCATGTGATTCCACTGGTCCATTAGATGGAGGTGATGGGTAACTTTCTTGCTAGTGCCAATGAGCCTCTATGATTGTGACTGAGGAGCACCATGATCCTCCATGCAAGTAACTCAATGAGGGTCTGTCTTGCTTTCCTCCTAGGCAGGAATCTGAGGTTTACAGAAGTTAAACAACTTGTCTATGGTTTCCTTACATGAAATAGAAAAGTAGATTATTAGAACTCTTGTTCTGTTGCTACCTGCCAATCACATTCATCATCCTTCCCTGGCAGTATGATCCCTGACACTGTGCCTCAACCAGGATCTATTTCTCAGAATACAGAAAGAGGAAGGAGGTGACCAGTGATTTCAATTTGAGAGCTCAAGCTGTACTCCTGGGTGACTCTAAGAAGTACCCTTCCTTCAGGAAGGGATGAGGAATGTATCCTGCACCAAAGTATCTCACATGCTCCTGGCTTTGCCAGCCCTTGATTTGGGCACTACCCGCTCCTGGTTCACTCAGCTGTTTCTTAACTCCAGCTTTGTATAGTACAACTTCATGCTTTCTAGACTTTTCTGCAAGGGTAGATTTTGGTTCAGACGTAATTTTTCAACCCTTAGTAGGAATAAGTAGCACTAAATCTTTATCAGAATATTAATGAATATTTAAAAATAATCAGAAGAGAAAACATGAAAAAAGAAAAATGAGAAGAACTTTCAAATGAATACAGGGCATCACAGCTCCTAGAGACCACAGGGTGTACCCTCCACAGAGAGAACCTCTCTGTTCCCTCTTTCTTTGGTATCCTCCTTCCATGCCTGTCACCATATTGCAGAGGTCTCTCTACCATGGAGGGACTTTGGCCATGAGCTTCAATCCTGAAATATAACTCTCAAAATATGTTTGGGCTCTATTAAAAGAGGGAAATAGTTCCCACCTTCAATTTCCCCATCTGTTCTCCCATCATTACCAATCATCTGTTGAGTTGCCACAGCATCTAGACAACTCAACTGTCCCTCTGGACTAGCAAGAAACAAACCAGACAAACCCTTTCTGCCATGCCAGCAACCCATGCCAGCACAGGTCCAGCAAATCAACACTGAGGGGCACTTCCTTGGTAGAGCAAGTTCTCTTTCCATCATCTCAGCCTCACCATTTGAGAAATAGGAGCTTAGTATCACCTTTACACAACCCTAAAGTCCACCAAAAGATTTGTCCGAGACCAAAAGCACAAATGTCCTTTACAAAAATAACTCCCTGGGAGCAACAGCAATAGTTGAGAAAGAGAGGAAGAGGGAGGTAGGGAAATTAATTTGTTCCTTCTATGCCTATGCCCAAAGCACTCAGAAATGGTCTCCTTGCTCTCTGTAGTTATCATTTTCTTCACTTAGGAATCTGAGGTTTACAGAAGTTAAACAACTTGATGGTTTCCTTACATGTAATTTTACAGTAGCCAATAAATACAAAATCAATCAGAGTTCTTGCTACACAACTCTGCTGGGACATATCACAGCTTCCAAGCCTCACAAGAGCCTAGGTGAGATCTCATCTCTCAGTGGAGAGATGGTTGGAAGAGCTGCCATCTGAGGGTGGTGTGACAGAGCAGCCTCCAGGATACAGTGCCAAGTGACTGTCTCACTTCCCTGACAAGCCCTTCCTGACCAAGAAGCCCAGAGTCTGCAGCTATTCATCTGACTCAGGAAAATTCTATCTGTTCCTGGGCATCCAGGACCAAGGGCCAGTGATCTCAAGTGGACCATTTTGAAGCCATGACCCATCATTGCCTCAAATGCAGTTGCTGCTTGAGATTTCCATCCTGCTAGTCCTTTTCATGTAAAAAAAATGTGTGGGGCCAGGGAATGAGAGGGTGCTAGGCACAGAATTTGATTTTAGAGAGGAGAAGCAAGAATAAAGTGCTGTTTTCAGGCAGTACAAAAAAGGTGGGAAGTAGGGCATTTTGGCTAGGATCCCGCATTTTTCACCCACACCTGTCCTGCATCTCTTCCCATCCTTCTCCCAGCCCATGACCCATATCTTTTCTCCAGTCATGTTAAATCTCTCTCACAAGACATTTTTTATTACTTTTCTGATTGCCTGAAAAATGTTTTTATTTGCTTCTTCAGCTGGTTAATTCTTATGTGTCCTCCAAAGGACAGGTAGGTTCAGTTATCACCTCCAAGAAGTCTTCCTCACCTGTCCTTTTTCCTGCATTCTCATTGTACCCTGTACACACCTTCCCCTCAGCACACAGTGTCACACTACCATTCTCTCTCTGTCAGCCCATGAAAAAGAAACTTAGTGGGGCTGGGGTTGTGGCTCAGTGGTCGAATGCTTGCCTAGCCCATATGAGGCCCTGAGTTTGATCCTCATTACCACATAAAAATAAATAAAATAAAATAAAGGTATTGTGTCCATCTACAACTAAAAATATATTAAAATAGAACAAAGCTTATAAAAAAAAGAAACTTGGGATGCACTGTTATTAGCTTGAAACCTATCGATAGACTTGTCTAAGCTAAATCAAACTCAGAAAAGACATTTTTAAAAGTATATCACAGGCCTCAATATTACAATAACCTCTCTCTACTCATGTTCTGGGTTAGTCATCTTTCTGTATATTTGGCTATAACAAAAATACCTGACATTAACAACTTAAAAGGAGGAAATATTTGTTTTGGCTCACAATTTCAGAGGTTTCAGTCCCTGGTGGCTTGGCCCAAGCCTCTGGGCCTAAGGCAAGGCACAGCATCATAGTGAAGAATACCTGATAAAGGAAAGCTGCTCACCAAATGGTGGCAAGAAAGGGAAGGGGGGCAGGGTCCCAGTATATCCCTCAAGGTCATGACCCCAGTGACCTGCTTCCTCCAACTAGGCTCTACTTCTTAAAGTTTTTACCACCTCCCAAAAGCACCACCAGCTGGAGACTGTCTTCAACAAATGAACTATGGGGAACATTCTAGATCCAGACTCTAACATCTTCTAATTCTTTTCTTCCCGTGCCCATTGCAACCTACATTTACATGAAAGAAAGAGATGTTATCATGAAACATAATCTATAACTTCCTTTAATATTCTAGACAGGTTAGCATCCTTATCAACTCATGCTATGTATCATATATCATGAATTATCTAAAGCTTATATAAATTTAACAATTACAGTAGCCTAGTACTAACCCATTTCTATGGTTTGAATATGAGGCATCCCCCCAAACCTCCCATATTAATGCAAGAATAGTCAGAGGTAAATGATTGGATTATGAGAGATGCCATTCAGAGAAGATAGGTTACTTGGGGTATGTCCTGAACTGGTTCATCCTCCCTGTGACCCCTTACCATCTCTCTGCTTCCTGGGCACCATGAATGGAGCAGTGTTCCTCTACCATGCCCTTTCTCCATGATGTTCTGCCTCATCTTTGGCCCAGAGCAATGGAGTCAGCCCACCATGGACTAAACCTCTGAAACTAAAATCCATAATAAACTTTTCCTCCTCTAAGTTGTTCTTGTTGGATATTTTGGTTAAAGCCACAACAACTTAAAAAAACACAAATGACTAACATACCCATCGGATCTAAAGCTAGCCTATCAAGTGAGGTCTGGGGCTCTCAGTGTGCCAGAAGTTTTCTCTTTACTGACTTATGGGAAGGTACAGGTCCACAAGGAAACAAAGTTATCAGGTATGGGGGGGTAGATGGAGAGGAATCTGGCAGATGTGACAGTCAAGTGGCTATTTACTTTCCTCTACGGAAATATTCTGATATTTCAACCACAGTTCATAGAAATGAGAGTCATGGAGATGTTATAGACCAATGAGGAGTCTAGATACAGTTATCTCATCATTATTTATTAAGACTCTAACTCACTCCAAGTAAAGATGCCCATAAGATCTGTAGGATATATGGCATTTTCAAACTTAATTCTAGTTTTCCTTGAGAAAGTAATGTCAGATAAGAGAGGGAAGAAGAAAAAGTTAACTAAGTTCCCTCCAGTGTTATTTGCCCACCAGACTTTCTTCCACTTGACATCAGGCCCTATGAGCTGCTAGCCTCTGTCACGCAATCTAATGTTTGCCAATTTTTCTGTTTTTGTTTGTTTGTTTGTTTGTTTTTTAGGCATTCTATGTAACACAACTTAATTCCTCAGCAACACTCAGTCCTGGGTTGAGGACTATGGGGACAGTCTACTCTTTTTCCCTAAAGTGGAAGAACTTTAGATCTCAAGATAATTGATAATACTTATTCCACTGATGGTAACTCTATAATTGAAAAGTACTCATTCTTTTTGCTTATTTTTTATGTAAACAAATAATACAGGCACACATTCCTAAAAATTAAGATAACACAAAAAAAGGACCAATGTCCTCTAGCTATCCTTCCCCCATTCTAACTCCTCTCAGAGGTGACCACTGTGGTCACCTCATCCTGTGTCCTTCCCTACTTTCCATTTATCAGATATGTGATGTGCTTTTGTTTATTTTTATGTGGCATTACACGAATTATTCTGAAATTTTTTTCTTCACTTAAAAATGTTTTAAATATTATTTTCTCTACCTTATTCTTTTTAGCTCTGGCTTGAATTCCATATATCTGCTATCTCACAATTTAATTAGCCATCCTTATAGATGCTCAGGTCTATGGTTTCCAGCTTTTCAGTAACACAGACAATATTTCAATGAGCCTTCTGGAATATTCTGCTCTGTGCACCTGTATTTTTCTATAGTAAATTTTTGGAAGTTCCCTTGCTGTGCAGAAAGTTCATGCATCTTTATGATCAGTATTCATTTGCTCTTCTACCAATAGTATAATACAGAACTTGTTTCCTAAAATGCTAGCTAAAACTAGAAGTCATCAGTATTTAATCTTTCTCAAAATCATGAGTAAAGTGTGGTTTCTCCTTATCATTTTAATTTGCATTTTCTTCACTACTAGTGAAGCCAAGTATCTTCTCAGAAGTTTACAGGTCATTGCTTTTTCTACAGATTGCCTATTTGTTACCTGTGACATCTCTGCCCCTGGTGATCCTCATCTCCTAGCCTCAACACACTGTGTAATCCCTTTCCCTTGAGGATAGGCTGGACTTAGTGACTTGCCTTCAACAAACAAAATATGCCAAAGATGATAGTTGGCACTTCAAAGGTGAGATTACTGAAGACTGTGACTTCTGTTTTGGTAGCACTCTTTCTTTTTCTGGCTAATCTTCTGTCTGATGAAGCTAGCTGCTATGTTTTGACCTGTCCTGTGTAGAAGCTTGTAAGGCAAATAACTGAGTGTGACTTCAGTGTGACAGCCAGCAAAGTACTGAGGCTCAGACTAAAATGCTGTGGAGAACAGAATCCGATCAACAATGTGTGACTGAGCTTAGAAGAGGGTCTTCTCCAGTTAAGCCTTGAGATGACCATTGTTCCAGTCAACACCGGACTACAGCTTCGTGATCATCCTAGAGCAAGAAGACCCAACTGAGCCATATCAGGATTTCTGACCTATACACTCCAAGAGACAATAAGTTTTTGTTATATTGCAGTAGATAACTAATGTTTCCTTTGCCCATTTTTCTGGTTTTTTTTTTAGGCATTCTATGTAACACAACTTAATATCATTTTTATGCTACATATGTCGCAAATATTTTCTACACCAGTCCTTCACTTATGATTACCCTTGGTTTGGGTTGCCTTTTATTATACCAGACTTTAAATTTTTAATGTCTTCAAGTGTATAGTTCTTTTCTTCTATGGCTTTTAAATTTTACATCTTACTTAAAAAGATCTTAGCGATACCAGAATTGGAAGCATCATAATTATTTATTAACTCCCTTCTCTTGACTTCCACTCTAAGTTCCATGAGGGCTCTGAGACTGCTTGTCTCTGGATTCACAGCCCCAAGCACAGTGGCTCACAGGGAACTGGCATTCAGAAACACTTGAATGCATTTTGCAGACAGACTTCACCAGTCCACATTCCTCCCTCTCTGTAAATTCTCCCTGGTGTCTAATCTCAGCTCCTGACTAAAGTGTGTGCATATCTCTGCTTTGTCTTTGCTGAGACAGAGAACAGATACCTTTCCAGCCCCTCCCACAGCTTCCTTCCATGGCCCCAGTCAAGCACTAATGCATACACTTCTCTGTAACTACCCAGTTTGGGATCTTAAATATTGCTGGTGTGCTGAAGATCTTACACTCTAAAAGGGAAAAGGGGAATAAAAATAATCTGAGGATTTCACTTAAAGTGCTGGTAAGGAATCAGTGCCAAGAAATATGAAAATATACAACATGAATTAAAGTCACCAGAAGACGCACCTGAAGCCACACTGAACACAAATGCAGCCCCACCCCTCACCCCAGGCATTCACATGAAGTCAGAGGCTAATGGGAGCCATGCCAGGTGTAGAGAGACTCAAAGGGAAAGAGCCAGGCCCAGCCCAAGATTTTCAACACATAACACAAGGAAAAAACTCAAGAGTTCAGACTCAGAGAGTGAAAAGAACATCAGGCACCTGGCTTATAATTTAATACAAAAGGGGTGATTTGTGATCATATACCCTGCCCTACCATTAGAATACACACGGATAAAACTGAATCCCAGAGAGGTGAGGGGAACTGTCCTTGGCTAGGAGCAGAAGAGGAGTTGGAATTCAGGGTCCAGTTCCCCTGGAGGGCTCTTTCACAGAGAAGGAGGGAGGAAGTCCAAGAAGGAGCCTAGGCTCCAGGCAGAGGGATGACTATCTCACTCCACATTTCTAGAAGGTACAGAGTAAGATATCTCTTCTCCTGGGGAAGTTGGGAAGTGAGCTATGCTAACAAATAGCATTCACTCCCCAGATTGTCCTGAGACAGAACAGGGAACTTAGGCTATTTGGGCTGAGTTCACTTTCCCCACAGGCAGAGATTGACATTGGGCAAGAACTTCAAGGCCTGGCACATCAAGGAGAAAAGCAATTACCCATCAGACTTGGTATTACAGTAGGAATGGACTCTATGGCTGGGAATGGGCAAAGGAACTCAGTATCCGATCAGCACCACCCCAGCCCTGGGACACTTTGTACAAGTTAGAACAAGGCCTCTTTCATCAAGATAATTTACTACTTGCCATCTAACAGAAAAGTATAATAAATATCCAAATCTACAATGATAGGATATGGTGGCACACCCTAGTGTTCTACAATGCACATCCAGAACAATTGGGTGAGTCAGCCTGTGAGCTGTCCTCTTCTCAGTGCAGTCACAGGTGTTGTTCCTGGAACCAAGAGACCCAAAGATACCCAAACCCCAGGGCGTCCTTTATGGTGCCTCTGCCTTCAGGCTTTTCTGTCCACAGGGTGCTACTTCTCATGAGGCAGACTTTCCTCCTGCATTCTACAAGATTCAGAGATCACCAATCAGGAAACACTGCAATGAACCAAGTCTGCCTTTGCCAGCCCTTAGTCCCTTACCAAAGCACATGTTTAAAGTAGAATTGCCTCTGAGCCTGGGGTAGAATAGAGTCCTGGACCTTGGTAGGGTGGGCCCTTCCACCAATAACCTTGGAAGAATGGAGGTGGCTGTCTATAAGTGGGCCAACACCAGTCATTGTGTGCACTAGTGAAGTATGTACAGTACAGTTCAAAAGAATAAAATAATGAAAAGGAGCAAGCACTGGCTTGCATTTTAGCATGGTCTTGCAGAAAATGCTGGGAGAAAATAGATAGGATTCGAGGCTATATGAACTTATCCAAATATAGTTAATTGTTCTTGTGTAGTTTTTGCCATGAAAAGATTTTTCATGTTTGGGATTACTGAAATCATCTTGGATGCAGAAATCCTTGTTCTTGCTTTATAAATGAGAAAACAGAGAAGTAGAAAGATGTGGCCAGGGTCACACCCAAGCTGACAACCAGGTTGGATTGGGACCTGGACTCCTCATCCAGTGCTCTCTTTGCCATATCACTTCCCTTGTCCTTTTGTCATATAGGCTTCCTCTGCCAGCATAAGCTTCCAGCCCACTCTCAGCCTAAGAGCAGAGGAGCCAGAGAGCCCAGGAAATGTAGCAGGAAACAGGATTTAAGGTAGCTTGGGAAGGTAAAGCCAGTTGCTTCACTAGAAGTGACCACTCTGTACCCAGTCCTGAAATGCACTGGAGACAAACCATAGTCTACAATCATTTCTTTCTCCAGAGTCAGAGTAAGTAGGTGAGTTATGTATTAACACAGGTCACTTCTTTCCCACATCAGAAAATAGGAAATGTTGTGATCTACAGATAGCAAATGGTATTTCCCTTCTCCTTCCTCCATTTCACCAAGTCCTGCCCCAGAATTTAATATATCACTATTCATAACTCTTTGTTTTGGCTTTAAAATAGTCCTCTCTCAAATATTTATGGGGGAGAAAAGAGGAAGTAAAAGAAACATTTTTAACTATAACTATAAGCCAGAGAATTCACACTAAAACCCCCAGAATTTCCCACAAAAAAATGGTTAAAAAAAAAAAGACTATCAATGCCAAATATTGTTGAGTATGTGGAGCAACAGGAATGCCCAACCACTGCTGACAAGAGCCACAAATTGGTACAACTACTTTGAAAAAGTGGTAGCAGTGACTGAAGATAATTAAATGCATTCTTCAATAACCCAGCAACCATACATTTGAGTTTAAACCTAAAAAAAATGCATTCTCATGTCCTACAAAAGATAAGTGCAAGAATATCAACTATCCCCTTCCTTCATAATAGCCCCCCAAATCCAGGAACAATAAACAGAAAAAATATGCATCATTTTATCTGACCTTGTACTTACACAATAGGACATCACACAACAGCAAGAAAGAAAAACTGCTACACACAAGAACATGGACAACTCTGGCAGATATAATATTGAAGAAAAGAAGCCAGGTACAGAAGAACATACACCATACGGTTCAGTTTACAGAAATTCAAGAAGAAACAAAATCATAAGGTGATATTATAAGACATAATGGATAACTTTGGAAATAGGTATAAGGGATCCTTCTAAAGTACTGAAAACAGTCTGAATCCCCATTGGAAAGGGTGGTGCTTACATGGGAACAGACATGTAAAAATCATCCCAGAGCTGTATACTTCAGATATATGAACTGAAAAATCTCAACAAAATAGAAAAAGAAAAGAAAAACTCACAAATACCACAAGACAGTGATTCTCAAAATGTGGTTCCCGTGCTTCACAGGAAATTTGTTAGAAATGCAAATTCTCTGACCGCATCATTGACCTACTGAATCCAATGGGGAAGAGTTTAGTAATCCATGTTTCAAGAAGCCAGGGAGATTGTAAATGTGTGCTAAAGTTTGAGCACCCCTGCTATAAAATGTAGGTATTAGTCACCCTGTTTATATATTTTAAAAAACAACAACTGGGGCCCATACTCAGCTTTCCATAGCTATGACAAAATATCTGAGATAAACAACTTAAAGGCAAGATTTATTTTAGCTCACGGTTTCAGAGGCTTCATCTGTGGTCACTTGGTTCTGTGGCCTGTGGTGAGACAGAACATTGTCGCAGAAAGTTTAAGCAGAGCAAAGCTGCTGTCCTCATGGAGGCCAGGGTGGGAGAGGGAAAAGAAGGAGGAAAGAGAGAGAAAGGGGCCAGGGACAAATTAAATCCTTCACAGGCACTCCCTGATGCCTCTGACTTCCTTCAATTAGGTTCCATCTCCTGCTACTTTCATCACCTCCTAATGCCACCATTAGCTGGGAACTAAGCCTTCAGCCCATGGCCTTGGGGGCAGGGACACCTAAGATCCACCCAACAGGAAAGAAACATGTCCAAGTTCATCTCAGGACTAAGAGACTGAGCTAGAATTCAAACCATACATCGGGCTCAGCCCTGTGCTCCTTTTACAAAACCACAATACCCGCTCCATAGGGATGGGATGTGAGGCTCTATCACATTATTTCCATCATTGAAAGAGGATTCTAACCTTGTGTTCTTTTGCTGCAGACAGAGCAGAAGGACATGAATTTCAATTTCATAGGTTTTTTGCAGTGGATAGTCAGATGAGATCTGTTTCCTTGGTTTCCTAAACTGTCCTGATGCAAAAAGAATTCCTGGAGGTGAAGCTGGAGAAAAAGATGGGCCTTTTAAACTATGCGTAGGAATTTGGGATTTGACCTAAGAGCAGCAGGACACCCATTGTTTCCACACACCCCACCCACCAGCAAGCTCTATGAGAGGGGACCCTATGCACTCTCACCAATATGCCCTCCACCCCTAGCACCGTCCCTGTCAAATGATAAAAGCTAAATAAAGATTTGTTGAACTAATTAATTATTTTAGAGTGGCATTGAAACTATTTTGTTTCTAAAAGCTAACTCTGGCTGAGAGTCAGAGAACAAATTTGGAGAGATCAAAGTTAGAAGAAATGAGACAGACTGGTTAAGACTGGAACGAGGACTCAAGTAAAAGCAGAGGGGGGCTTGGGTACAGCAGTGTCTGCAAGAATGGAGGGAAAGGAAAACAACTCAGCCACAGTTCACTGACTTGTTTAACCAAGTGGGGCATCTAGCCAAGGAGCTGAATGTCTTTGAAAGTCCTTCCACCTGTAAAATAGGAATAATAACAGTACGAACCTCATAGAGTTCAGTAGTAAATGGAATTATAGCACACTGAGACATAATCTATATTCAAAAATGTCAGTTTAATATTGCTGCCATTGTTCTAAGCACAAGCCTTGGAAGGAGCCCTGAGGTAGCCACCCTGTGATTTCTTCCTCATAGCCTTGTTTGAGTTTGGACCAGTCACTCTTCTTCTCTGAGTTACCTTATTAATAAAATAAGAGATATGGCCAAGTGACCACTAAAACTTTTATTGGCCTGGACAGACAGACAAACCCTGCATTACAAGAGGGGGTGGGGGTGCTCTCAGCATTGAAATTCAGCACCTGCCAAATTTGGGGTTTGTTCCCTGTGACTTAGTGTAGTTGAGCACCGCGGAAGCAAATTGAAGGACAAAGAACGTTAACTGTAATATCTATTCAAGGACCCTTTATTAGCAGGACTATTAGTGAGGGGAGGGGTGGAATCTACACATTTCTGAAATATCTGTTTTCTTCTTGGAAGACAGGGAACAGAATTCCAGCTTTCA